TACAATCTGACAAAATTCAGAGAACAGACTGTTATTAACTTGAAGAGCGAATTAGTATCGTCGAGAATGAGAGTGAAACCGCCAAAACGACTTTCCTTATCTAAACGAAAGAATGCTTGGTATTTAGACCAGGCTAATGAAGGACAGCTTTTTTATTTTTGAGGGGATAAACAATTCAAATGACCCAAACGAGGACACCGTCCAGGTCGAGGTGTTCGTACAAGATGGACTTGATATACCTGAAGTTATGCCATTCCAAGTGGTACATAGGCTTAGACGACGATTGGACGGCAGGCCTGGATCTACAATAGCCAAGTTTGTGAACAGAGTGACCCTGACGGGGTCTTAAAGTAGCTCCAAAGAAGCTCTCCATTAAGCCTCAATATAGCATCCGGGTACTTTTATTTGTTGGGGATATAAATATGATGTGACACCGGTCCCCACTACATGATTTCATCTTGAGACATGGATACGAACAACCGACCAAGCAATTAGGTTTTCGGGTGAAGAGTTATGTACTGCATAGGACTTCTTAGATGTCCAGAATTCAGTCCCACTTTGGACTTCGAAAGGTACTGGGTCTAAATATGTCATCTGCATTGAATCTAACGAGATCAAAATGTAGAGTAGAAGAATCCAGAGAGTTACATGTATTGTTATTTGGTGTGTTTTTTTCAAACTGGACTGGATTATGAATTTAATTTGATGTTCTTAGCTTTAATACTATATTTGTATTTAAGCCAAGGAAGGAAATCCTTACAACTGACAAATGGAAAACATGCAATTAGGATATACTATTATAGAAAAAATGATGTTGGTGCATTAAGTTTATACTCATCCAAAATACAGAACATGATAACCAGAAAATGGAATTTTACTAAAAGATTACTAAATAATTATCTGTAATGGATGGCTTACAGTAAATAGGCCTTCCTTACTATAATCAAATAAAACAAACAAAGGAAATATGACTTTTCATATTGGTATGTTGTCCATTGGTGGAAAAAAATGATGTATTTGTATATGCTACTCATACGAATCAATATTTTGTATTCTAATTCTGTGTTAGAACGTATTACAATAGCCTTCAGTTAAAATGAAACATTGAAATATAATGTTGAAATGAAATGTGACTTTCAAAATCTGAATAAAAATAAACATGACAGAGGTTTTACCTTTATTTCTAGGTTACCGAACTTCTCAAAGATTTGGAAGAAATTAATTAAATGAAATGCTGTTGAAATACAGGGCTCTATTGAAGGCTGTGCTTGTCTCCGACATGTAACATTTACAGTCACTAAACCCAAACTGGAACACATTTTTAATAAAAACTCTTATTATTTTGTACCAGGTAAACAGCGTTAAAAGTTGCTTAACTAAAACACAGCTATGTTAGTTAATCAAAAAGGAAATTAAATATACATCTACTGTATCTTAAATATAAAAAGAAACAATCATCATAATTCAGTCTGTAATATGCGCCTATTAAATCAGGTCGTCATAAGTGTATTATATTTATAAAAGTGTTGTGTGTTTTTAAGAAGTAAAACAGAAATCTTTGAATACTTACAAGGCTCCATGTTTACCCCTGAATAGGTCAGTGACTGTCCCTGCAGTTTAGGGGATCTATACTAAGGCAACGCTGTGATAACAAAATATGTTATGGAGGCGCCGCAAGGACATGTTTTCCCTCGGAAAAAAATAGTTTCCTCAGTCATCATATTGATAGTTCGTATATCGATTAGCGATCAACGGTACATGTGATGTAAATTTTTGTCAATCCAAACAAGTAATGAGAACAAGGTTAACTACAACAGGACCACGATGTTTCGAATTAAACATATTTTATTGTAAATTATTTACAAAAGGATCGGGCACAAGTTATTTCAACTTATAGTTGTCCTTTCTTCAATACATTACAAAACAAAAACATCATAATATCAAGTCATCAATAATTTACATAAATATTGGCTAAATATATTTTTTAAGAGAAGGGAAAGAGAGAGAGAGAAAGAAGTGGGATGGGGGTAGAGGGTAGAAGGGATGACGTCATCGGAAGTAAAATTATAACAGAGTTTCATGGTTTGAAACCTGTTGCTACTTTTTGTAAAATGTTGGATTCGTTAAAAATTTCAGAGTTTGTTTCAGGGGACAGTTGATCATTTCCATTAAGGAGCAGATCTAAGTCACAGTGAACTTGTAAATTCATACCATTTAAGCGTTGGAAAAGGACATTTCTGTGAATATCATAACGATGGCATTCAAAGAAAAAGTGATAGGCATTTTCACACATATTTCCACATACACAACTATGGGTATCCAGAAGGTTCATCCGTAATAAGTCGTAATTATGAGTATATCACTGATAAATATTTTCAGTTTGAGTTTGAAACGAAAAATTAAAACTTGATATGATCAGCATTGTACCAATGATAATTTGTTGAATACAAGCTATTTAAAATAATAATTCCAACAGCATAAATCGGCCTTTTGCTGACGGTGTGACTGGCAGAGGCACATTCTAATGACTTTCTAACTTCCAACTTTCTTGTGAATTAACATTTATTGTGGTAAAAATGTCATGGGATAAATCATGTTGATATGCGGGGGTGAGGCGGTATACAGGGGGACTGCTTTAGATGTTATGACCCCTTGACCCTTACAGTGCCGTTTTTGTTTTTGATTTTTGATTTATTTGTTTGTTTACTTTTGTTCAAACTTACGACTGCTGTCCTTTAGATGATACATTTGTTGGTACATTACGTTTGAAAAACGATGAAGCAGTTATGATTTTATATCTAGTTCTAAATTAGACTTATAATGACACATATCGACGTACATCTCGCATCAGTTTCTACACTATCGGTTCTCATCGATATATATGTCTTGATCTTCTAGTGCAAATTTTGAATTAAACTTTCCTTATATTTTCCCTACTTAGTTTCCGTAACATTTGTGCGTGTACCCACGGTTCTCACACATGTTGTAAATGAAACATGATATTACAGAAGAAAGACAGCAGGTTAGAGGTTGGTTTGGCACTGATTTGTTGATCCCACGGTGATGCAGATTGAATTAACACACAAACAACCATGTAATTTATATGTATTTAGAAAGAAAGAAAGAAAAAAACTGCCTGATGTAGTTCAACAAGTGATTTTCTGGTTTTATGTTTCGTAAGAAACTGTTTGATACGGTTACACACGTTTTTGTTTAGTGTTAACTGCAACTTTAATGAAATTTTATCAACAAAAAATCGACGTTTATACAAATAGAATTAGAATGACATCTACTTGAGCACAGATTTTTTCTATTATTGGGCCGCACCTGCGTTTTAAAACATTTTTTAAAAACTTATCTGAATAGTAAGTAGATTTTACTTCCGAAGCCGATATGTTGTACCGATTTGACTGCACATGTACATCATAACGTAAGAAAATAGATACCAAGAAAACTCACAGTGAACGATTTACGTTTTATTTCCAAATAAATATCACAAAATATCTCAAATATAAGGGTATAATGGTACCCAGTCGGAAATCATAAATAGAACATCTTAAGTTCTGCTCTTACGAGCATTTCGTCACCAACATGCATTAGTCATATATACAGCTAGTGAAACATTATTTGTGAGAACACTATAGAAAATATTACAGATTATAGGCCTGTGATATGACTGAGGTAAGCCTTTTTATCTGAATATGTTCTTAGTGGCGAAAAAGCATTTAAATATATATACATACACATAACGTTCATAATAAGCTTAACGAAATAAGTTAACTAACTAAATGCTGCCGTCTTTAAATTGTTTAGTAATGTGTTTTCGTTCTCCACACATTGTCGTAACCAAAAGGAATGTGTGCATGAAAACGAATACAATACGATGTAAAATAAGTTCAGCATAATGTAAAATACAAAAACTGGAGTGACAAAATCATAAATAAATAACACCCTAAACATATATAACACTGGTTTATGGTATATTAAATTTACATCGTTTTGCAAATAGACACATTGCAAATAGCACGTTGTTATAATTTTCTGCAGATGGATGTATTTAAACAAAGCCTGTTCACACACACACATATATATGTATAGATCGTGATGCAGATATTGATATGTTGTCGGCACCTTGTTTATACATCTGTTATTCGGCCGTTCGATGTACACAAGTCATATGTTAAGATTAAGTGTGTATTGCAAAGCAAATCAACATATTAACGTAACTTCTCATACTTCGGATAGAATGAAAATTTATCTGTTCATACATGTATTGCATTGTGCACTGCTAGTAAATCAGATAGCTGTTTAACGCCTGTACCACGAGTTTATATGCTGAATGTGTTGATGACAGCTTGTTAACAGATCAACCGATCATCCTGCTTACACATCTTTTTCATGCGGATCGATGCATTGCAGGTTAATTGATTTATATATATATATGTATAACATATACAAACAGAGAATAAATATGACAACCAATATCAAACACTTTCTGTCACCAAAACGCATGTTATATCTATTGTGTATTCCGAAAACACACCAATAAAATAAATTGCATTGTTTCTGTGCTGAAATGATAGTATAGTTCACATATAACAGTTTTATGCTCAAACTTATGCTTTGCGGGACAAACAATTGCTCTATTAGTGTCCTGTTTCTCCGACTCTAGCATAACAATTCATTGATTACAAGTATGAATATTTTCCAATAGCTTAGCTGCCTGTGTGCACTTGTTCTAAAAGTCAATAAACTATGTGAACAAAAATCTACTGTTCTTTTGTAAGTCGTCATCTGGAAGGGAAACACTGGCCACGCATGCCTTGTCTGACTTCCGGTTATGACGCTCTACATTAGCGCCATCTGTTGGGCGATCATTTGAAATCGGAGTTATGCGCACACCGTCTCGTGATCGCATGGAAGGATCCTCGTCAAAATAGTTGTATGGCATGATGAAGAGAGACAAATGAGTTCCAACTGTACCTGTGTTGGGGACGTTTTCAATCTGCGGTATATGTTGAGTTCCAAGGGTGACCCATGCCACTATATCCTGAATAAAAGAACAGATTATTTTTTTATATGATTTGAGATTTACAAAAAAACTTTATATAATATTTTTCCATGTAATTATTTTACATATGACTTTATCATTTTGACATATTAAAAAATATTAATCAACCGACTCATACAAGTGCATCAATATTCGTTCACCTTTTAATATTCTTGAACTTTTTAAGAAACAACTTTAAAGGTTGCTTGAATGAGACACAAATACTTATTGATAAATGATGGAAGATATATATTAAATTTCAGAATGAGTTAAGTTATAAAAAGATTTGAAAATAAAAGAATGCAGCTACCTCCCCAACGATATTCTCGTCGTCCTCTATGTACTTCGCAAAGTCGACGACTGGATCGCTAGCATCCCACATAGCAAATATAGAAGTGCTTGTCTCCTCCTCATCCTTGTGTTGAGTAACAGCCACCTGCTGTCTCGCCCATGGAATAGAGCTTGAAAACCCATAATTGGGATTCACCAACATATTTGACATCCCTCTAGGTAGCAGCCGGAATGATCGAGGTAGACCTTGCGCGCTGGTTTCGTTATGACTCGAGACTAGAAAATATTTTGGAGCTGAGAAATTATAATTGCAGATTGCTTCAAGTTCTGTTTTTTTCACGTTTCTCTCATAGTACGTTTGTACGTGGTGGCCACCATCAACCCATGGATCGGTCTTGTTCTCCACTTTTAGGTCGAGGGTTTCAAAGCGGTTTTCAGTTCCTTTCACGTCTAAATCTACCTTCATGTGGAATAAATGATTGTGGATTCCAGCGTTGATGCCTTCTTTAATGTGTACTCCATATGGGTTTTCTTCTGGGATGTGGAAGGTTGTTCCGAGATAGCCTGTGAGAGAAATTTTCACCTCTACTGCCCCTGTCTGGTAGAAGTAGAAGTCATATATATAGTCGTAATTGATCACGGACAGTATCGTTCTCACTACCAAGACAGAGCTAACCAGGCCTCCGTAAAAAGCCCCAATACGACCATAAGCGCGATGTCTTCGAATAGGTGTGTTTGTAGTATGTTCAAATACACACATTGCATTTTCATAAGTCCGATGACCACCTTCATTAGCAGAGTATAAATGTGTGTTAAGGAACCGTGCGTTTGCAGGACAGTCAACACTTGGTAACAGGCCTCTGCACCTGGTACCAAATAACCCCGCGCTATCAGCATAATTAAGCATTCGAGCGGATGGGCTGAACCCAGAATATGTAACCACCACCTCCTGCAAGCTTATCTCATAGAGAATTCTCTCTCCGTCAAATTTGACATCAAACAGTTGAAGTCCGACCGTTGGAGACATCCGATATTTTAGATCCCAAGCGAGGTAGTGTATTTCATTATCTGCAATGTTGATACGGGTTCCGTCAGGCTCCACTTGAATGGGAGGACGAAGAACAGCTTCAGGGAAGAACGGTTCTCGAAAATGTAAAGAACTATACTTGTTTTCTTCGGCGGAAGGGAAGGACATCACGGTCTTATTGATATTTCCACATGTGTACGCGGTAAGAAATTCATCAAGACTGGAGAACATCTGATTCGCATACCAAACATTCTCAATGGTCCATTCCTTGGGGTTAGCGCTTGTCATATTGACCCTGTATTGGAAATCAAGAGGATGTAATGTGTAAAACTCGATGTCGTAAGCAAACCAAAACCAAGACTTACGTTCACCTTTCGATAGAAAAGCACTTGATATCGGAGTCATAGAGAACCTTAGGCACTGCCTGCCGCAGTCTAATGGAGTGGCATTGTAGCTCTCTCTCAAAACGTGTCCGGCGCGCCTCGCAATATACGTAATTATGTGTTTGTAGATTGCCTTAAATTCGAAAGATGAGAACGGTCTGAAGTTGTAAGGAATTGTAGTCTTCCTAGCGGATGTGTTCATCACTCTCGCTTCCGATATGTTGGATAAGGGTCCTACGATATACTCCTGGAGGACAGGTGGCGTTACATCTCCTCGGAAAATCAACACCTTGGCCATTCTCTCTGGTTGCTTGCTTAAACCAGACAAATAATCAAGTACGTTCTGTTTCCTTGGAGGTTGGAGTTCTATTGTGTGTATGAAACTGGAGTCAATAGCAGCCTCGTCCGGCTTTGTCAAGTTCAAGACCATGTCCGCATATAAGTACTCTAAGACCTCATCAATTTCCTCAGATGTAATGGCAGCAAAGACGTCGTTCTGACTTGCCTGTCGTTTGGACCTTGACAGTTGTCTGTCTGAATCGAGAGCGCAACTGGGTAGTTTCGCTGCCTTGATCTGTCGGTCCTTGACTACCCAGACGGACACGCTGATGACCAGGAAGGCAGTGGTGGAGATGGTAAATATAAGCGATATCCATTTCCATTTGTAAGAGTTGTCTAGCATCTTCTTCAGTTTGTAGAAAGTATTCTGCAAGTAACAAAGTACATAAGTAGTGAAATAATAAACTGTCAGTGTGGAAAAAGTTCATTTCCCATGCATTTCTGAAATTGCAAAAGAAGCGTATATAAGCATGACACCTAATTATAGAAAAAAAATTACTGTTATGTATAGGTGTACCGAATGTCACTAACAAATTTCATTATTTATGGAATAAATAATATCATTTTCGTGACTTTTTGTATACAATACCATGAAATGAACTGAAAAAAGAATAGTGAAAATAAAAATGGTTAAAAAACATGATATGATATGTACATAATGATAGCATATCATCGTGTAATCCATGTTCTGAGTCTTATCAAAGGAAAGTAACTCTAAAATAAAAATTAATGAAGGGAGACTACTCTGTAAGTACTCCTCTTTATGTACAGCAGTTTTCGCTGAGAATATACGGTTTGATAAAAAATAATGAAACACAAAAAGTGTGTGCAAGTTGGGTTAAATTACTTGAAGATAAAACTTATCAGGAATCCTTCTGCTCAGTATTGCTACAATACCAGTTTTGTATTTTGTTATCATAAGTCTACTATTTAGAGTTAACGATGTTCTATTGAAGATCTTTTATTTAATTTAAAAGATTATTACACAAACAAGACTTAATTGAACGGATAGATTTTGCTATATTTCAGTTGATTCCAACCACCGAAAAATGCATTATAACTACTACAACTCAAGGTGAGTAATTATCTGGACATTTGTTAACACTTTCTTGGTTTTGATCTTTGTATAAATAACGTTACATGATGAAGAGGTAATGATCCTTATGATTATCAACGAAAAATAACATACTGTACAACCCATTTCGAACAAAATTATAACATATGTGTTTTGTACTCGCAGGTTCATGTAACGTATATATAAAATGTGGAAAGACAATCACCTGTATACGAAGACAAAGAGATTTAAAATGCAGTCACTTCAAACTGGTCACTTCATAAGATCACTGGACACCATATATAGAGGCAATGAAAACTGTTTCTAGGCAATAATTGTCTCTGGAGAGATAATACATTATTTTAAAATAAAAACATAATCCGTCACTATACGAAATGGCAGGATTGGGAAGACAACAAAGAAAATATCGACGAAAGAACAAGATATTTAAATTTAAATTCGATAAACAAAGGGACTCTATGAACAAAAGAAAGATTGACAATGGAACCACTGAAAAAGGTACAAAAAGTACAGGATAATATGTCAATGCGTTCCGGAAAGGTAAGCGTCTTTTGCTTTATTAATGCCATAAAAAATCAATAAAAGTAAGTTATGTCATGTTGCCAAATGACGACAAGTTAACAAATGAGATCATTGTGACCACAACACAAAAGTCATCATTTTGCATATCAATAAAGCCCGTGTTACGAGTTTGTCAGTTGCCGACAGCTGAGAACAGACCCCTAATAACCTATAGCTAAACCTGACAGGATTGGGAATAAGGTTCTAAATTTGTGCCCTTGTCATTTAAAGACAAGACATTATCAATATGTCTAAAAATTATGAAATGAGGGGCTTGCGTGGTCTTTTTGACGTTGTGATAAGCTTTCCCTCTAAGTCATGTTAAAAGTCTGACAGGAATCCTTACCATCAAACTCGACGAAGCAAGAATTGTCATTCACACGATCAAGCTATTTATTTGTAATACATATTCCGAATACCTTATTGAGAATCAAAAAGCATATTAATATTGGTGGTGATAAATAACGTTCAATCTTTAAATATTTCAACATTCAATTGAATAAGATTGAATTGGTCCCTAGTTGTATACCTTATTCTCATTTTGAAGCGTGTCATTTCTTACTTGGATTAACCAAGATTTACATACCGGATGTGGTCGATGAAGCAGAATCAACTTAAAACGAACTTGAATTCATTTCATACAAGATGTTGATTATTTTCTTTGGTGAGTCATAATTTTCGTTATTTTATCAAAATTTATAATCGGTAGAAGTGAAGACAATGGTTTTATTGCCTTTACTAAAAATTTTATCAAGTTATCGTTTTGTCGTGGTATTACTGAATACAAAGAAACTTTCGGAGCAGTTTAGATTTCAACCATTTCACCATTTTGTCCGTAAGGTGAAATAAAGGAGGCAAAAGCAATTTAAACATAATTTTCTATATTGATGAGAAAACTCATTTCGTAATTGAAATCCTGAAATGAGTGCAAAAATTTTTTTTCTTCCTGGTCAAAGACAGTTGACTTCTCCACCATATTTTAATTATGGTCAAAGGAAAGTTAATATTATTCATACAAAATTAAGACATCAGTGCAGTTCATTAAAATATGATATTTTTCGTGTTAACCTTGTGGCTAGCCCAATGTGTTCCTGTGGCTTTGCCTGTGAAGATGTTCATCTTTTCTTTTTTGTTTGTCACAATTATCAAAATCAGAGACTAGTAATGCTAAACAATTTAAACGTTTTAAATATTATTCATGACATTGACACAGAACTACTGCTTTATGGGGATAGACAATTACCATTAAAACTTAATGAAAACATTTTTAATCTTCTGCAAATTTACATAAGGGCAAGCAATAGATTTACATTTTAAGATAAGAAACCAGCTCCGTATAAAATTATAATGATATATTAATTGTTACATGTATATCATACCTCATTATTTTGTTCTTGTATGCCATTGCCTTAAAATTTATATGTATATTGATTGGAGAGGGCGTCGATAATGTTGATATAACTTTTGTGCCCAATCCATTTTTTTCTCTTTTTTTTTTTTTGCAATAGTATATGTTTAAAATAAAAGAACTAAAAAAAGAAGCAAAAGTTTTAAACTTATGTTGAAATGTACACTATTGTATTTTAGCGAGAATCGGAGACAAATGTTTTTTTATGGGAGGACGAAAATAACACTGAGCGAATGTTTCCTCGTACACATTATTCCAAGCTCAAAAGTTGCTTCAAATAGAACCCCAAAAACAAGCACCTTTAAATTAATCGATTTTTTGGTTTATTGTTTTCTTTCTCAGGTATTTTGCATGTTCTGAATGAATATTATTATTTGGCATCATAGAATTTTAATTGTTTAAATATTCTATGAGATGTATTCTCTGATTATGACGAATCGTTGAACATTTTATGCGTAGGATGTACTTTACAAAGAGGGCAGTTTTACTGAGTATCACTGACCGATCAGTGATGATTTGCACCCCCTCGTGTCTGTCTAGTTAGCTATAGATAAGATTGATAGAGTGATGAACACAGAAGAAGGAATGTTATTATAGATGAGTGACTCTCGTCAGATTTAACGCGTCTCTTCAAGTTTCCAACTGCGCAAAAATAAATGGAATAGTATGAATATTTTTGTACATTCTCTCTTTACTTGTATGTTTTAAAAGTACGGTTCAAATGTGTGTAATAAAAAGGAATTCTTTTAAACTTTCAAATATCATTAACCGTATACATACAGTTCCAAAATTACTTACTAATAGCAATGGCAAAAATCATTCAATCAGAAACAAAGATGAAATTACCATATTACCACCTGCTTTATCTGGTTGATTTTACGAGTTGCTAATTAAACAGAAAACTTTTAAAAAGAAAATAATTTATAATGAATATTAATTCGTCATTTACTTGAAGTATTATTATTATTCCGTTTATTACATTGTAAGCTTCAACTCATCAGCACACAGCTTGAACTCAGACTTGGCATGGCAAGAGTTATTATCAAAATTTACAAGAAAGACAAATCAAATTTCAATGTAAAAATGAAAGCGTTGCCATAACATTAGTTACCGTTATAATTGTCCTAAAATCACCAACCGTCAAAGAGCTTTCATAGATAGTAATGGCATGACTAAGAGAAGATTTCAACCACAACAACGACTGTCAGATTTGTCCTAATATAGGTACTTTCATAGATTATGTAAGAAGGAGGACAATCGTGATGCACAATTTCGGGTTTAACAATGACTGGAAGTCAGTTGATCAATATTCGGGCAATATTATCTTTCCAGGTAGAACTTATCATTTACCATCGATTTATGAACAAATCAGCATTATTCGAAACTTGTTTCATGTTCATATTTACTGGCATGTTTACAAACTACTGCAACAATCCCTGGACCCTTATATAGCGGGCTCGAAGAACAATAGGAATACACAAATGATAAAATTCTAGCTCTTTTTTAATGCAATCTGCTCTCTGGAAATATTCCTGATTTATTCAAATTATATCACGGTTCAGAATATACACATGTATGTGACGATGTTCTTCAATAAGTGGATATATTTCGGTTAAATTGGATTTCCCTCAGTCGCCTCATAGGCTGGAAAATTTGGAAAGTTCTAGAAGGACAAAACAGTTGTATGGTGTAGTTTTACTAAGGAAAAAATCAAAAATACTCAAATGTACGACTTTTCTATTTATTTCTACTTATCAATGTAATTAAAAGCCTCTCCCTGGAGGGAGATAGGTTACTTCGGGAGTCCGCAGAAGAAGATTTTTCAAATATTAACAAATTTTGATGAAAGCACTTCGGAGGGGTTTAATTCAAGAATTGTTTTTATTTACAATATTTTACCTGCATATAAAGACTTTTGGAATATAAGCAAATAAACACCATTTGGGTCCCTGCCTTCAGGACCTAGAAATGCGTCTATATGTGTCTTTCCATATTCTTAGACTGCTACTGATGACAATAATTCAAATAAAAATTGACCTACAATGTTCTTTTGCATTTTCGTATATGAAATATAGCTAAATCTAGTCCTTCTTTAAACTGACGGCCTGAAGATCATCAATTTTCTAATTTTAACAGAGCAATTCGCGACCCTTCTATTCAAGAAGAGTTTGTTTTATTTTTCCGCATCCCGCTTCGAAGATTTTAAATTGAAGCAATTTTTCCACGAGGCTCCTTGGGATAAGAAACAGAAAATTTATGAAATCAGTTTGTCATTGCCCGTGGGACCTTTTTGCAAAATGTTATTGACGTCTCTGTTGCGGTTTTCAAGAAGAAATCCGACTTGTGAAAATGTTAACGGACAATACACGACACAATCGCCGAAGACGGATCAGAAAAGGTCACAACGCTTCGCTCAAGTGACTTCATTGTTTAACAAAACTTACCAGTAAGGATTGGGAAAGTAGAAAATATAGTATCAAAATAATACTCTTTCATTGAAATACTCCATTGAGGGTCAGATAAAATTGAAAACATTATTTTGTATACTACGAAATTAGTAAATATCTTCCTGTGAAACAATAACTACGTTTTTCTTTAATTTCTTTCAAAAATCAAATTCCTTATATAGGTTGTACAAAATACACTCGCTTGAATAGCACGTTTAATTTTGAATTTAGAGCTTAAACGCAAATACAATAGCTTGATCAAAGATTACATTAAAGAAATTTCCCAAACAATGTGTTTTGTTTTTGAAAAGTGACTTCCTTTTCGTATTTTGTTATTGCGTTTTCAGCCTTTTAGCCTCAAAGGGAGCGCCAGTGTCATATTGCCAAGGAATATTACAAAGTCCTAGTTGAGACATACGAACAAAAACATCTAGCTATTTAGATAAATATAACCATAGATTTTATATCAATCATAAGACAGCCAGATCAACATGTCAACAAGTCAATTATCAATGAGATTTATTACCATATATATAGAGCTAGACAGATCACCAAGACATGAATCGATATATGTATGCAAAATTATTTAGAATCATTTACTTAACGTCCACGCTGATACATTTCATTAAAAAACAACGTCAAAATATATTTCCAAACCACTGACCATCGGCATTTCTTGACAAATAATATTGATCAAAGTATATCAATAATAAATTTCCAGATGAATTGTTACTAATACATAAAACATTGATAAATATTGAAAGAGATTTACAAGCTATTTTCTACAATGGCGTTATATATTTGAACCAGTTTTAAACGACGATACAAAATCACAAACCATTGAGAAGTGTCAAGACAGATCATTTTCAACATAAATAACAAACCATTAATAGATATCCAGTGAAAATTGCAATATAATGTATATTATATTTGGCTGATATCCAGATAAATAAGCAAGGTGTTAAATAATAGTTACAGCACTTAACAAGGACCTTTAGATATCCAGAGAGATTTGTATTCTTAAACATATTTATCTAGGAAGACCAATAAAAGATTAATTGATATCAAGAAGATTTTCGAACAATTTATGAACAAATTATAAAACCCATCATTACGCGACTAGATCATTTTTCATACCGTAAAATCCATCAAGATAAAATATGAATATCTAGTTAACATTACACACTACTCAATAAATGTACATATAGATTTCAAATATTCAATACATATGCAACACTATTTACACAACAATGAAAACGCCTCTAGGTTACTTTTCAACCCAATCAAAAATATTCGATATAAACAAAACGAATAATGAACGTTATTTTTTATATTCAGCGTAAGCTTTAAAACGTGAACATGCTATATACACTTTATTTAGCATTATAGTGATCTGCGGACACTTTTTTTTAAACATCGAGTAAAATCTGAAAGCAAATAACAATACTTCTAGTTGAATATTCCAGCATACAGAAAAAGTCTAATTCAATACACTTTTCGTAGAGATAACACGGTTGTTATCATTGTAATTTAAACTGGAATCCTATTGGATTAGGGTAATAGGTAATTGTGTTATTTAAACATTGGATCTTTGTAGGAGAGGGAGACACATGCATTCAACAAACGATCTGATATGTTAACAAATATTGTGAAACTTAAATATGTTTTGAAAATGGTTTTCAGCAGCAAAGAAGAAATGATGAATTATCGCATAAGTATTTAACTTTTTTCGGTACCGTACGAAGTTAGAATATTAATTTCTTTAATCTCATCTTTTCATGAACATTTATTGGGTAAGCACGAATGCAATTACGATTACTATTACGAGAGAGAATCATTCTGCTTATGAATATACATAACATTACAAAAATATTTATTCACCAATCGTGAAAAATAAAATCTTGAAAACATGTACATCTGAATATATCTACAAAAAATATCTTACACCTGTAATTGAAATGGAAAAATGAAAAGCATACTGTCTAGAAATAATTATATACGTCATATCAGGTTTTTTACATCGAACTGCTAAAAATTCAATAAATACAAATATAATTCTTCTAAAGAGGGACAATCCTACTGTCTATATATTCATAATGGACAAATTCATCAGAAATTGATTTAGTGATATAAACACATTTTAGATCAACAAAGGCAACAACACCTTATAAGAAATGCACACAAATAAAGTGTTAGAAGGTTCTTTCCGTATTTTCGTTACATATACTAAAAGTATCATTCTAATTTACAAACAATTGTTGAGATAACATATCCTTACAATATAATAATAGGAATTTTCGAAAAGCACTTTGATATGTTTTTGAAATGAATTTACGCAAAATTCGGTGAATCACTCTGACCTACCTTGGCAAGGGTCTGACCTCTCTCTGCGTCCGACTCGAACATGGTTGCGGTCAGTGTAGGTCACTACAAATACACAAACACGTAGATTGGTAGAGTATACGCATTAATGAGTCTTGCTCATTACGTCATGCGCGTGCCTGGTCAGTTAACACAACTTAATGTCTTTAAGTTTTCCCAAGAAATTTTATTTTTACACACAGTCTAGGTGTGCTGACCAAACATGATTTTGTGTTTACCTGATCATTTATAATACTAAAAAGAAAAAAAGAATAATAATGATGAATAATGAGTTACTCTTAACGATTTATAGTAAAATAATTAAATATATGCCTTAAATATTTTCAATTACAAATTATGTGATCCATCCAAAGCACATGTTTACCTGTTGTTAAATATCCAGGTGAAATTCTCTCTAAGCGTATTTTGAAAGCGAACACGTATGTCAGTGTTTAACACGTATGGTTTGGTCCAGTCAGAAGTTTCTGCCTTTTATTTACATGCGAGGCCTCGCGATGGATACGGAGGTACACGTCACAAATACTATGTATTTCACAACGGAAAATAAAGACTGAAGCTCGGCACGGCATCACACAAAATCATAGGCGCTCAGGATGTTTGCCATCATTCATATCTTATCAAATCCAGCCTCCGTCGCTGGTTCATATTTTTGGCAGCATGCCGAAGGAAATTGACCATTGACTAGAACGTTCCCGCCTATAACTACGCAGGCGGTCTATTGGACGTCAATGTGTACGGTTGTTTATTTACCTAGTCACTTTAGGGTCTTCATGCAATATTCTGACATTCCGTAAGAAGGATAACATAATAATTCATTGCAATATTTTCTCAACTTAATTTGTTAAAACAATATATTAAAACAACACGTGGTTACGACTTTTAACAAATCCAGAATTGGAATATTAAAATACTAAAGACAGAATATGAAAAAAATGTACAAGAACATTTCAGGCTACTCTAATGGGAACGTCATTTTTGTTTAATCAATGAACTCCATTCCTGTAAATCTTGGTCAAGTTAAAAACAAACAACATAAAATATCGACAAATCGAAATAATCTTAATTCAAATCCAAAGTCGATGACATGGATAAAATTCATCCTAGATAATGTGAAAACTGAATTAAAATAAGAAACGTCACGTTCACAAATAAGATTAATGTTAACATCAAACATCCCACCATAGATTTCATTAACATGCATCGCTCGAAGCGCTGTGTTGCAAGATTAATCGTTAAATGTGAACATGTTGCACGAAATCCTGATATTAGGAACAAGCCCTTGAATATCGAGACAACGGTGACTTGTAGACAGCGGAAGTTAGTAAAGCTTAGTAGATACTATCTGGAAACGAGAAATTCACAACACAAATAATGTTGGTGACTTGTTTGCTACGGACAGTAACAATGAACACATCTGACATATTAAAGACGATCGAACATTCTCATTTCACATAGTTGAAGAAATGAACATAATGATATCGACCAGTAAGCCAGCATCGATATATCATGAACAATAGTCTGTTGACTTCGTCCTTGTAACATGAGAGGAAGTGAAATAACCTGTCATGTTAATAATATGGATCATTTTCGCTGTGAATAAATTTCTCGTCAGTAGTACCCACCTGGATAATTCGGTACCAAGTTCCTTATTTGGTCATTTATTGAAACATATGTTAACTGATGATAGAATAGTACAACAATTGGTTATCAGTGATTATCAGACATCCACTTAACATGCTACTGGTAAACTACCCACCCGTTTCGACGTTTTGTCTCCGTAAAACATATTTTGCAATTGTCTGATGATAACGTTAACTTGAAAATATTTAAGAGCGATTAATATAAGCATCACAGGAAACATTAGGTTCGCAGTTAAAGTGTCTTGGAAAACTGATGTAGCAATTTTTTTTTAATATCAAAGTGGCGAATTTTAGACCACAACATTTTTCAATTATTCTTACCCTTAGAAACTGTGTGGTCTGACATACCTAAGAAAGTACCATTGATTAGTATTCAAATCATAGACAATTTAAATACTTTTGTTTCTGTGATAACCCATTTTCAAGTGTGTGTTGTGATCAAGGCAATGTTCTTTATGTCTCATTTTTTCTCTTCGTCTAGATTTTGACTTTCCTTTCGACCACTTACTCAATCGCCCACTAGGGTTTAAAGTTTTTATTCATTAGCATCGCTGACGTGTCCAAGGCGTTCGAAACAGTTGTATGATGTAACATCACTGATAAGTCCTAGAAGTAGAACAGCTGTGTGATGCAGTTCTATTCATTGCTTAACTCTACCGTATCTAACTAATTTGTATCAAAAGGTGCTATTCACTTGTTTGTCTTTTATACAATCTTGTAGCCTATATTCCTTGTGGGTATGTAAATTATAAACAAGAACGACTACTGTTCTTTCCTTTAGCATTAACGGTATAGTACCATATAGGGTCTGTCCTTTTCTGCAAAGGCTTCCACCTGCGCACATTTGGCCACTGGTGAAACGCGTATACAGACACCAAGAAAGAGCATTTAACTGGAGCCGAATAGAAATAAAAAAAAACCTATTGATCTTAAAGCGTTGATCATCTCCACGAATCATTTCTCAAGAATTGAATAAATACGCAAATACCATTAACGATTTTAGGTCGTCTTGACTTGTTTATGAAAATGACGAAACTCATATGATTTCACTTATTGCAAGGTTCATATATATATGTAAATATGTTTTCATCAACAACCATGACGCTGAAATGTACGAGAACGATCTCAACCAGTGCATTCAGTGCATCCGGATCTGCGCATATCATACCTTATGTGTAAGTACAAAGTGATATATTGCTTCTGTGGTCGTTGAGGTGATAAGCTAGGATTATCAACCAACCCGCACTAGTCATGGTGTCAGTGTACTCATAATGTTTGGAGTAACCTTTAGATTTCTACTTAATTCTACCGAATTCCGATTAGACACATCGCCAAATCACTCACATTTCTGAGTTTCTGACAGTTCGAAAACTTTGAACTGACTGAACCATACAAATACTGCCATTTGTTTACCACTCGTTATTTTAGTTATTTCGTATCACGTCTCAGACGAGTTAAAAACGTGGATGTTAAGCATATCATTTTGCAGTTTATCGTTATTTATTTTGTGGTAACAACCCTTCCCTATCTGTACCACTCCCATGTACCAACAAATTCTGCATTGTGAAGCCAAAAACATTTTTGTGGTTTTCCTCGCTTCCTTTGTCTGACAGAAAAGACAGAATCGGCGCAAGGCAAACGGAGGAAAAACAAATAAGATATGGAAAGAAAAACAATGAAGGGACGACAGATAAATTGAAAATATAAAGAGGCGTTTGTTTAAAACATTATGTTCAAAGACGCTCTTTTGCATCACATTCGTATTTGTTTCAGTTACTATTCAAATTGTGAATTAAGAGATTCAACCACGAAATAAAATACTCTTGCAAAAGGTTTCACTTTTCAAATTACCTTTCTAATCATAGAAAATGTATCAAGGCTGCAGAAAAACTGACATATTGACACATAGATGAAAAAAATGCAAAATAGGAACAAACGAATTATTTTTACGACCCTTCAAGAAGGACAGGGGGAAAAAAGAACAGAAGTTCCGAAAGCACTTGCTGCTCGTGGTCAATCCAAGTAAGGAATGCCTTACGTCCTCAGACGAGAACAAGAATACCAACATTACCATCTGAACCACCGTGCAAACTAACAAACATCAAACAAATATAACTTCAAATAGGAGTATAGAATATTTCTTAATGAGATCGTAGTGTGATAACAAATTTTTAGCAAACTACGTCTCTCATAATCTAGATTATAACTTTTTATGTCAGCTGCCTATATCTTTAACGTAGATGGTACTACCTAGAAATGGAAAATTCACAATAGGGAAATCAATTTCATATGACACAATTTAAAGTGTGGTGGAAGTCGTCCATGTAGGTTTCTTTTTTGTAAAATATCGGTTGAGTGTCTTGTGTAAAAGAGTTTGTGGTGCCATTTCGAACTTCTGGGGGTTTACAAAATACACAGGGTCATCCGAAGACATCATCAATATATCTTAAAGAGAGACTGATGAGCATTACAAGGCCATTGTTGCTAATTTTGATAGGTTTTTCGAATAATTCAACATCGTATGAAAACCATAATTAAGCCAGATAGGAGAGGTACATATGTGTTTTAAGTCGTATCTCTAATCTCAATAAGTATTGTCAAGTGGAAATTCTAGCGTTCTCCTGATTTGTCCTCAGTACCTCTTTCTTGACATTTAACAGCTTTTCACGAGATACACTCACAACAATATATTTGTAAGTACTGTTCTTTGAAAAGGAAAAATGACTGATTGAACAACTAGACAAGTCAGCAATAAAACGTTGCTTTTATGATAAACTAGTTTTTCGACTAAGAAGATTGGATAATGTATATGTAGGATTTCCGTAATAACCAGGATCTTCATCAGCCCACATCTCCGTGTCTTCAGTTTGTTTGTCAGTTGCCGGATATCGTTATATTGGAACAGCCAGTTGAATAATTAGCCAACTACATATGTAAACACCATAACAGGCCATGTTTTTTTTGTAAAATTGCTCAAATTGTGATGATGACAATAGTAAATGTAAATTGCAAATCATTACTAGGCATGACCAAACTTCTGAAATTGTTTACTTTTGATACCAGCAACCAATGCTGTGAGTGGACGGTCAGCATCAGCATTGCTCAGAATCAAAACCTATCTGCGATCAACAATGACACAACAACGTCTGAACAACTGCATGCTACTTCATGTCCACAAAGAGGCGACTGCATCTATTAATTTAATTGATGTTGCAAATGAATTTGTAAACAATGAAAACCGCGAGAGGGTATTTGGAAAGTTTACATCAGATGACTGTTTTCGCATAGTTTCTTTGTTCGATAAGGTCAAGGAAAACTTTTCATATTAGGAAGATTGAAATATTTCAACGATATGATTCAAAGAAACGAATTTATACAAATGTACTATATTGTCACAGAATTGTGTATTGTCAGTACAATGTATATGATATGATGAAAATCGACCTGCTAAAACTTAATTATCATTGAATATTAAATATCATCTGTAAAATTTGCAATTTTTATCTCTATTTTGACAAAATTATTGGGCCAAACCCCAACCCCAACCCCCACCCCACGCCCCCTGTTCCGCCCGCCCTGCATAAGCTGGTCAAGCAAAGATGTTCCTATTCAAAAATGAAACATTTGCAATAGTGAAATTTAAATCGTCACACTTATCATACCTAATCGGCATGTGACGCGGAAAGATGGTGCAAAAATTCAAAACAAACGTGAAAATCTTCGAAAAGAGTCGTATATCAGTGTTGTGAAACCTGACATCGTTGTGTATAGGTTTCAGTGGTCATGCAGATGACCTTGAACTACGAATAACATGGCTCTAGTTAAGTGCGCCGATAGTTTCGTATTATTTTAAGTACATATCGTGATAGAATGTTGTATGAAAACGTGATGTTTTGCACATATACAATAGTCTAAAAGCAAAAGCCAGCGTTTATTTGAAAATACCAATGACGAGCATTTGTGTGTAAACATCTGATACCACAAATTTACTTGATAAGAAATTTTCTCCATTGCCTTTTCCGTGATGATTGTTTGTAAACGATAATCGGATTTCAGCAATGACGTCATTCATGTAATTCAACATTGTAATATTGACCTTGTGAGGAATGAGGACTTGAATGGGCTTTCCCTGAAACAGTTTAAGTATCATGCAAAGGGTGGTATCGTTTGCAGGGTCAATAGATCTGAAACATTCCTTACATATATTGTATATACATTAAAAGTTCGGCTCCATCATACCCGTTTAAAACATTCTAAAGCACACGTAGGCCTGCTAAGGTTTTCAATTATATTTTCCCCCAGTTTTATCGATGTTAAGGTCGAGTGTTGTGTTGACAGGTCGTCATTTTGCCTTTAAAACAATTAGGTATATACTGTTACTTTATATATCTTTTTTATTGTTTACATTCCTATGAATATTGTTAAACTACAATAATTATACGCTTACAACATACATGTAGTTTGTGTCATATGTTCGAACTCCCATTCTTATCCTAGCACGGACAGCTAAGTGTAGTATTCGGATTTATCTACATACTTATCAAATATTCCTTATCGGGCACTTTAGATGTTAAAGTGCTCAACAACAAGACACATGCCATTCTAGAACAGATGAAAACATAGGACTTTGGTGGATTATTTTGACACATTTCAAATATTTTTTTCGGTAAACATTTTTTCTTTTGTATAGTTTGATGAAATTTGTAATACATTTTGTATATATATGTTGACTTTTAAATTCTTGAAGATGAGACGCCCTTTATTTTAGCAATGGATATTTAACAAACGGTAATTTGTTTATAAAATATTTTGCGAGTGATAGCAAAATTTATTCTAGAATAATGATACCACTTTACTTATATGGATTTTAGGCATTTCCTATGTTTTGTTAACTGATGCCAGTTTACATAGAAAAGCATGTAATGTTGCCGCAATGTCAGCAACGATGTACGATCACAACAATGTCACGTGATCAAATGATGTCATTACAAAATCTCGTTACATGGTATTCTCTATACATTGCAGTGGTCGGACGCTGAGAATAATTGATATTGATATCGGAATGCATAATATTTTATTGTAAATATTTGACAAAAACATTGCTTTTATTGTAAATATTGTTTAAAGATGTGCTTCCATTTATTTATCTATTTGTCTATTTATTCATTTAAGTTGCAAATGATACTGTTTTTATTCTTCCGCAATTTATGTAGCTTTAAGATAAACACTTGAACCAAAAATGTTAAAATGAACTTGCTACCTCCTGATGTCCATACACATTGATTCTTTGACCATGTTTTGGCCAATGATCTTTCCGGTACGAGAGTAAACATATTGTGTCTAGTGAGTGGTGGTTCGGCGGAATCCATTGTTCAGTTCTGATATGTTCCCATGCTGTGATGAACCGACGCGAAATGACGATCACGATGACAATGTAACAAGCCTCCGTATCTATCTAAGCTGAAGACAATGATATTTATATATTTTTATAGTAGTATGGGTTCTTTGCTCAATCAATGATGTTACTGGAATACTTTAGTACTGAAAATAAGAGATAAATACAGTTCTATTGCTCATGTCGTCTTTAAAATGACGTTATGAACAAGTTCGACGCCACTAAATTATTACTGAGTAACGGAGGTTTAGAACACAAATCATTGTTTTGTCAGTCAATATATCATTACATCGTGTGATATTTGGCCCAACATGGGACATAAGACTGATTAAAATGGTTGAAGACTGACCTAAACATATAGTTATATTATAGATGCCTTTTATTTATATTCAGACCTTTTGTGAAAATGACCACCGCTCCTCCAGTCTTCCTGTTTGATCATGACGAGATGACAACACTGTTTCCGAACTCTTCTGTCAACATGACAATGGTACGAGGGTCGCCGTCGGCCTTAAAGATAGCCTCTGATATCGTCATAAAGACCACGCTCATCATCATCATGGCCGGGATGGGCAGCACCATTGAGATAAAACCTCTTCTACAGCATCTCAGGAGACCGGTAGGTATCGCCATCGGCATGTTGTCACAGTTCATCGTACTTCCGGCAGTCACATTTGGACTTGCGCATGCGCTACAGATGTCAACGTTTCCAGCGCTCGGAATGCTTGTAATGGCTTCGTGTCCTGGCGGCTCAACATCCAACGTCTTCTCCTATTGGATGGATGGGGACGTGCCACTCAGGTAACATTAAACCTAACGTACAGTTGATTATGTCAACATTTATCTGGAACAATTTCAACGTGTTTCATTGCTTTACATAATGATGCGACAAGGTAGGGTGTGACGCCAAAGTACCACCAGAAGTATACAGTGGTGATGATTGCCATCAGGTGTAGAGCGTGATGCAAGTGTTCTCTCGTAATAACGAGATATAAAAAGTTAGAACATGTCGCAGATATCTCACCTAGTGTAGAACATGATAAAAACTTCCACAAGGCGTTGACGTTCCTTAAGGTCTAGACCATGACACAAAAGTCCTTTCTTGAGTTCAAGTTTCGTGAGGAAGTACTCGACATCAACATCAGCCCGGTGTTCCTCAAGCCAAACAAACTCAAGCATGTTGTAGTACTGCAATCTTCTGTTTGTAGTATTTTTATCGTTAAGATCAGTTGACCGAGGAATTGGTCAGGTAACAAGTAATGTAGGCGAAAAGGGTCTTTTACCTGCAGTATGTGACATGCATCATATCAGGTGATGGTGTAGTTTGACGCATAACTCAGTCAAGAAACCACTATAAATGAAATTAGTTTTAAGTAGATTTAACAAGGGCGAATATAATGTGTTTTTTTATGTCACGTAGTTGATGATATAAAGAATAAAAGGGAGATTGCGGATAAATTGTGACAAAGTTGTAATTTTGTTCTCACAGTGTAGCTATGACAGCAACGTCTACAATAGTAGCGACGGGAATGATGCCACTTAACCTGTTCATATATAGCCGGAGCTGGACCGACGAGACTCTCGTCATCCCCTATGTCAACATCGCCATTTCTTTCGTAATGACCATTACTCCGGCCGCCGTCGGTATGTTCTTTCGTTGGAAGTGGCCGAAACTGGCCGATATGGTTGTAAAGGTACGAAAATATAAGTCACTACCCTATTTTTTACCACTTTTGAGCCCCACCTTGCGGAAACCACACAAAATGCGATTGGCCTTCCCTGTAGTGGCTGATTCGGGATATTGTGATATCACTTTGTTTAGTGGAACGCGATATTGTGAGACCAAGATACCGTGAAGCGAGATCACGAGACCGCGAAGCGAGAATACGAAACCGCGAAGTGAGACTGCGAACCCTACTCGCGTTGTCATGATCTCGCAATATCGCGTTCCAATAAACATAGCGATATAAAGATGTCTCGAATTAGCCAATTTACTTTCCTATGAGTGATAGAAAGTTTTGAAGAAGTCACTATTTCGAAGTCAAGTTCCCCTATTGTACACCGCACCTCCCGTGTTGGGAGAGTCATCATTCCAGTTAAACCAGTTATACCAAATAGGTATATTCAGATCATATTCAGAAAGTGGCGATTTAGAGCAAAGCCCAAATCCTGGTTTGACAACCTATATTCAAATATGATGTCATTAAATAAGAATGTTTTATACCAAATTGATTAATTAACTGATGCTAGAGTGTTAAATAGAAGAAGCGCTGTACATCAAAACCCCTAGTGATTGTAAGGGTGGTGTTAGATATATTTCTTTTAGGTATTCACTTCCACCGTTTCTGTTGTAATGTCTAAATTGGAACTGTATAACAACGTACAGTGAGATCAAACGGCTCTACCAAATATCAGTTTGAGTAAGCCATGCCACTTAACAGCTAGCTACAATATTATTATGATATTATTATTATTATTATTATTATTATTGTGATAGCCTAGCATTTCATTAATATCAACAGTTTCAAAAAGGGTCTTTAGACTTACAAGTTACGATAAAAAATAAAAAGAGTGAACAGAAGGTCAATGCTGTCCAAATAAAAATGTTTCGACACAACTGTAAAATAAAAACTACAAATATAGATTGGTATGAGGTTGAGTGAAATAAAGAAGAAAAACTGAACACTTAGGAAATAAAGTTGACCCAGGGCTTGGCATGACCAGCCGATCGATCATTGAGGACCAAAATGATCACCCGTCTTACAGAGATAGAGGCCAAAGTGATGTATTGGGGAAAGGCGCGAGATTGTTTGAGAATAAAGCGCAAACCAAATAAACGCCCCTCAACCACCAGGACCCTTTCTTCCAGTACTAACGGGACACAACCCATGGCAGACAGGTTGGCCCTTTTAGTGGACTTTTACTACATGCAGTAGGACACAGCGGATATATTCTAACCCCTATCCGCAGGGGAGAGCTGGCTACGTGGGGCTCAATTGTAGGCAAACAGGCTATCTAAGGTACTTTACAAAACGTTTTCTAGCTTTTAAGTTCTCATTACTCAAAAGTTTATTTTGGTTTTAGACATGATTTTGCAAAAAATAGAAATATTTGGAATAACCCGGAAAGAAATTAGACCTGGAAAATATCTGAGAGTAATATAACATGTCAAATGCTGCAATGATTGAGCATATTTATTGGAACATTTTCCAAGCCAAATGGGCATTCTGAAACATAGGAATGTTTGACTTCTCTGATTTGAATCAATCACCTAACACACAGCATTTTAAATTCAAAAGGTAAATTATTTTCACATATCTATTATAGACGATCAGGCCTGAAGTGTATAACACGGGCGTGTGAAGTAATATATTAGTCTGTTTTATACAAGCCAAGGTGATGTATAACAGCCAAGAATTTTTCGTAGACACTGCCAAGTGTAACACTACAGTGCGTGCTCTCCTGGCATACTAACAACGTGACCCGGTCACACGTGTACTTAGGTAATAACTAAAAACGTTTTGTTGGCGTTATGGGGGTTCACCCTATGGCTTTGGTGTTATTTCAATTGTTCTTAGCTTTCCTTCTCGAAATATTGATAAATAATGTATAAAAAAGCTTTAGTGCTGTAAGTATGTATTCAACAATCCTAAACAAAAGTCCTTTGAAGTTATTGAATTTACGTCACAACGCAATCTATGAATGTGTGAATTGCATATCAGTTAAAGAGTGCTGTAAAATGCCATATTACTAATTCTCAAGCCGCAAAAATATTGCATGATTATAGAAAACTGAATAACAATTATGTGGTAGAATATATTAACACACAGAAAATATACTTTCAGGAAAACAAAAAGGAAACCTAACAAATTGCATCAAATAAAGAAACAAGCAAAACAAAATAGGAAACACGCACCATACACTTATACTGCACCTAATACCAACATTGACAGTTAACTGCACTTAATATATCGGTCAATAGTTGATTTTAGTACATTTATTACGTTCTCTTCAGATATATTCCCGACCAGACTACGAACAGGTTGTAGTCATCAATGAAATAAAAAAAATTTATATGTGCTGACGATGGACTAGCATCCCTCGGTCATCGGCTACTTTGAATACATGTTGATGAAATGTACTTCATGACACAAGGACTCAAACGCCTCCGTTGATATATACCTTATGACACGAGCACTCAAACACCGCCATTAATATATACTTCATGACAGAAGGACTCAAACGTCTCAGGCAATATATACTGTATTGCACAAGGACTGAAACACCGAGATTAATATATACCTTATGACACAAGGACTCAAACGTCTCAGTTAATATAAACCTCATGGCACAAGGACTCAAAACCGCCATTAATATATACCTTATGACATAAGGACTCATCTCAAACTCTTATTATGTACTTTACGGCACAAGAACTCAAACGTTGTCATTGTCATGTACTTAATCATACAAGGACTCAAAGGAAACAAAAATTAATATTACTTTATACCCCTTCATATGTTTGTGAAATGTTAAAAGTCAGTACATTAGTTTAATTTAATAAAGACAAGACCGGCGCCAAAATAAGAACAGACTGTGTCTATCAATAAAATGAAAAGATAATTATCGTAATGGTGATAAAACCTCATTCAGTGGCGGTGTGGTTGTAGATACATGAACCACATAAAGATATATATCACCACCTCATCACAATTTATCTCGTCCTTCATGATATGTTTCTGAAACTTAGCCAGTGCTGTCGGACCTTGAATCATTGCAAAAAGGTTGTGAAATGCAGTCTTAGACGTCAGAATACATCATCAATTATACTTATACTATCAGGACACCAGGACACATGACATCGTCCTGTGATGTACATACTGACACCAGGACACATGACATTGTCCTGTGATGTACTTATGGACACCAGGACACCTGAAGTCGTCCTGTGATGTACACATTGACACCAGGACACATGACGTCGTCCTGTGATGTACTCATTGACACCAGGAAAGATGACATTGTCCTGTGATGTACTCATTGACACCAGGAAACATGACGTCGTCCTGTGATGTACACATGGACACCAGGACACCTGACGTCGTCCTGTGATGTACTCATTGACACCAGGACACCTGATGTCGTCCTGTGATGTACTCATTGACACCAGGAAACATGACGTCGTCCTGTGATGTACTCATGGACACCAGGACACATGACGTCGTCCTGTGATTTAGTATTGGACACCAGGACACATGACGTCGTCCTGTGATGTACTCATGGACACCAGGACACATGATGTCGTCCTGTGATGTACACATTGACACCAGGACACATGACGTCGTTTTGTGATGTACTCTTGAACACCAGATTACATAACGACGTTCTGATTGTAGTCTACGACATAAGAACTCTCCCATAGACACTAAAACAAACGTCTGTTTGTCCTTTGGTGTGCATTCATTGGCACCTGGAGGATTTAACAAAACACGATATTTATCTATCATCCAGATCGTATTTATATCGATTGTATACTACTATCTGGTATTAACCACTTTGTCTAGCTCCTAATAGTTCTCAACTCTATGATATATGTACTTTTGAAACACAAACCGTATAAACAACATTGTTATTCAGTGTGATATTTTTTCAGTGCGGAAGTGTTGCGGGTGCCATTGCTGTCGTCCTGACCTTGACCTTGATGAGCGTGATGTACCCGTTTATGTACCGAGCGTCCTGGAGTATATATCTCGGAGCCTTCCTTCTGCCAACAGTGGGATTCCTGTTCGGATACCTTGTTGCAACCTTATTCCGGATGGATACATCAAGACGTATCACGGTTTCCTTGGAAACAGGCATACAGAACTTCCCGCTGTGTATGACACTGTTGACCTTGACATTTGATAAGAGCATGTTTGCTTTGATTTCGTTATTTCCATTAATGTACGGTGTTACTTGTATTCTTTGTAGTATCCTTTTTCTCTTCCTTTACAAAATATGTGTTTTCATAGTAAAGTGGAATGACAAACGTGGATTTTATACAGTTGCAAAGTCAGAAACGGAAGTAAAAGAACAGAAAGCCTAAAAGGCATTGATTTGAAAACCTCATTACACATGCTATGCTATTGATCCTCGGTCCAATGGACAGTATCTTTTTACACTTGTTTAAGTACATTTGACATTATATTCATCTTTTAAAAAATGTGCTTTGCCGTTGTCATACGAAATCTTATTGAATTAATTACCTTGTATAGCACTACATGTACTAGTGTTGGTATACTTTTATTTTCCACTTGATATTGCTGAACAATATATCAAATATTCACAAATTAATGTTTCATTGTTTCATTGTTACCGCATTCTCTACTATTGTTCATACTTACTAAATTGCGTTAATTGACTTCAACATTGTAATCAATAGCTACAATACTGCGTCCAGTGTTCGCATTGCTGTGTCCAATATCTACATCATTGCGTACAATTACAGTATTGCGATTAATTGAAACAAATTCTTACAAAGTTACGTTCAAATATTTGAACACATTGTTATGAGAACAACAGTGTTAAACACTTTATAGACATCAACCGTTCTCTAACATACCACGCCAAAATCCGATATCACTCAAACTAGATTACGTCATGTTGACTAATTATATTAAAACCTCGTCAAGACTTTAAATTTTCCAGATCTATGGGTCAAATTTGTTCAAATTCAACATTCAACTACAACCAATATTTTGCCTCCGACCAAGGGACTACGTCATCATGTGGTCAAGTGTTGTAAACAAATCTTAAATCGCCGAGATACCATTAATGTACGTCACGAAGGTCAAAAATTGGAATGCATTCGCCTAGATACCATCTGCGTCATCTGCTCATGTAATTTAGAGCCAAAAATAAAATAGAAACGATTTCGACAATTCCAAAATTAAAAAAATTATCACCAATAATTGTTTTTTTTTTTTTCGATTGTCTTTAACAATTTCATAAATTATACGAAACAAAGCACAATTTAGACAGGGCGGTTTCGTAAACATCAGTGACCGGGTTCACAGTACATTGCCAAGTGGGCCAAGGTTGTCGATGGTAGGTTAGCTTGTTTACAGTGTGAGATAGGGGGTGTGTTCTTTGGATGCATTTGATTGGTCTAGCAAGCTGGCCGGAAGCCAACACCCCAACGTTGCCAAGGAATGCGTCATTTAGAAAATTTGGCGAAAATGTTGGACTGTTAAACATCACGCCGTGTTATCGCTGTTGACAGCATCGACAAATCAAAAAGTGAAAAGTTTCGGCGAATAATTTTGATACTTGTTACTTGATCGGAAAATGAATTGTAAGCTTCAGGAAAATTTAGATGCAAGATTAATGCCCAAATAATTTTGATCAATAAAGCAGCCAGGATTGGGAAGATGCCAAAAACATAGTAGTCGTAGTGGTATACCTATATTTTTACAACGCCATGTAAACATAACACAGAGGTCGTATAATACCGAACTGGCCCACTAACCTAGCGGCCTACTCTATGCTGACCCGCTTTCACACGTTACGGCAATATTTTCTCTCGTTACTCACGGTGGCGCTATCGGGCGGAAACAGCACCAGCAATATAACACTTCTCCGTTACATAGATAGAGTAATATGTACTTTAGTTTAATTCATGCCGTGTTTTACTACGATTAGCTGACTAGGATCTAGTGAATGGAGTTTTCTGTCCTGATAAAATCGCTCTACGTCCGGCAATCTGGCATTGGATCGCACAGCCTGTCATGGTGTATCTGCTGCCCGAGTGTCTAGACATCATCGTTCAGTGTTTGTAAACATACGGGTTTTGTGCGTAGGCATTCCAAGTGGGAAACAAGATTGAATTGTATATATCAAAGAAAATCAATCAGATGAAATCCAATGGGTTCTCATTCCTTCTACATTGTTGAATACTTCTTTAAATGCAAAAGGTCAAATTATCGAGAAACCAAAAGGAATAGTTTAAATAGTTTACTTCACATCGTTTTCCCAAAAAACTGATATCAAAATTTTGTTTTCATTTCAACCATGAACTTCTTAAATATACTACAATATTTTCAAAGTGTAAAATATGTTGAAAGGATCTCTCTCAGGAACAACAGAAATTTGCCCACACATCTAATTAGGTAAAAGTAGATGGTGTTTGTAGCACCTTGATTGACTACCCATGAATTAGGAGTAAAAAATCCAAAAGGTCCATCGAGCCTGTACTACGCCCCATTTAGTGTCGTAACAGGGTTTTTCATCCGAAAAAGTATTAAAACTACAGTGTATATTACCAAATGATATAATGTTTGATTAACAAGGATCAGCTTGACAGTATGGTGTTAAATGTGTATCAAATTACTGCAAAATGGAAAAAAATCAAACAGTTTCCAAACTGAAAAAGTATAATTTTTTGCACTTTTTTCTAGTTTTTCAAAGAACTGAAACAGGCACTATGCAACAAAAATCTTTATATTTTATTTGACCCTTTGTGTCAAGAACATGTGGTGAAAATTTCAGGAAAATCGAGAATCGCTAAAGGTGTCATTTAAAAGCCAAAAGACTAGTATTTCAATTTTAGATCATTTTGTTGGGGTCGAAAACCAATTTATTAGTTGAGTGATATCATCAAGTAATATCATGTTCCATTATTCAAAGCAATTTAGTGATTGCATCAAAATGAATACAAGTGCGATACGAGGTTCAGCTGACAGTGAAAAAAAAGGCCAAAAATGCCTAGGAGTCTCGATTCACAGTATAATACTAAGTAGTTGGTTAAAATCTTTGCTCATAGGAGAGGGGTTATCAATTGAAACCGATATCAAGATTTGCGAAAGGTGTTGCATAAAAAAGACCAAGACCACATACAAACAATGACTACTCCCGATATGATAAAGCTCCATCTTCAGAATATACGTCCTAGAATATTAGTAGTGACAATGCAGATAATGTTGAGACTGTCACAGACACTCTCCCACATTTGAGTTCCGACGATCTGAAGTATGCAGCAACTTCTCATCGGAAATGTTCTATATGTCTTAGTTATAATGACAACTTTTAATAAACCTGAATCTGCACGCCAACGTCTGGTCATCAAATATCGGCTATGGTGATCTCCTGATGCCAGTATTTGTCCAGAACACCTCATTAGGTTTTTTTCTTATTCCCGATATTATAGTATCTTTGGTCAACAGCAGTCCACTACGAGATAGATTAGATGACACTATTTTACTATTATTCATAAATGATTTCCTTAAACTCACAAGGAATCCACTCAAGGCAATTCAACAAAATTGCAGTTTAGAAACCTGTCTGATGCAGACTGCCATGCGTGGACTGGCTGGTCACTAGAACAGTTCATGATGATGTATGGCATAATTGAACTTGCATTTCTTTCAGTTTTTGGCTAGAGTTTGTGTTTGTACAATATACAAAATTAAAAATCGATTCATCATGGAATGAAATGACTGTCTTTAAAAGTCTTACCCAAACCTCACTCTCTAGTTTTTTTCACAAAGTTGTAGATAGTTTTAACACAAAAATTATGCCCAAATTCCTTCCCATATTTCCATATCTCACGTGAAGAAGCCCTTGCGTACAACACAACATTTTATTTTGGGAAAAAGTCAGCATCATATTTGATGGTACATATATTTATATCAACAAGAGTAATGACCATCAATTCCAGAGGGTTTCCTGTGGAGGACAGAAAAAGCGCAACTACTTGAAATTCAATTCTATGGTGTTATCCGATCGATATATTTTGGACGCTATTGTCCTTTACTATGGAATGGGAGCATCAATGATTGTAATAATAACGAAGCGCATTATTCAGCATTTTGATGCACTTAAGAATTGGTTGCAAGACAGTGACGATGTCATAATAGACAAGGTTTAAGGGACATTTTAGTTGTCCTGGCAGACTTAGAACGAGGCAAATTTCCATCATTCTTGCAAGTTGGCAAGTTACATGCTAACACAGTGCAAGCAAACAATGATAGTTTGTGCACAAAAACTAGACCGTCGTTTATAAAGGTGGGTGTTTTTCAGGGACAAACTGCCATCCAATTACTCTATCCGAGTCATTGACAAGCTGGTCCGCATTGTTACAGCATTCTCTTGGACTGCTTCAGAGGACCAATATATCAGCCTGGCGTAGACCAGGAGCAGCGAGACATCAAGATGGCACAACGCATGCACGTGTGAAAGAAGACAATCTCCTTGCAAAAAGGGTTGAGGACGATCCATATATGTCGTCTACAGAGCACATCAGAGTTGAAGAAGCTGGAAGCATCCAACATTTCATTTCCTCGATTGCATGTGGCTCATATCAGATCAACATTTCGCCTGGTTATATTTCTGAATGTAGTGACTATGAAGCTTGAATGTACAAGCATGCAGATGATCTTGTTCGTGAAAAGAGTCACTCACGTCACGAGTCTCAAAATATAATGTTTGGATCCAGTTTGACGTGAAAGATCCTGACGATCTAGTGAAATCGCATTATTGTATCTGTCCTGCAGGCAAGAGAACATCTGGTATGTGTGGTCATGTTGCATCGATTCTTTACTATTTACTATTTAAGACAGGGACAGGCGAAAACTCTTCAACCCAATTGCAACCAAGGTATATATCCTCTCTTCTGATCAACATTTGTTGGCACATTCTTCACACTTAGTGATGCCCAATTCACTAATTTATTCATAAATTATCATTACTGATAATCAAAAGCTTTGAATGAAAAAAATGTTGTTGAGATAATATATTACAAGGGTCGTTTCTATGCCTCTAAAACTGTATTATCATCTTCTGACCATGCAGTTTCTTGAGATATAGTAACTTTCGAGCCTTTAAATGGCAATTCCACCGGTTCTCATTTGTTCTGAAATTTTCACGGTATACACTTCAGATAATATTTATCAATTAACAATATTTATATTTATTTTTGACATGGGAACTTGCAGAAGAATCTACTTATTCAAAATTGACATCCTATGACTATGTACATCATTGTTTTAACAGATTTTTGAGGAAATACTGACCCCTGTCAAATCCCAACAAAATTGACTAAAGTTGAAA